ACGAACCTCAGCTCTGTTTGTTTGCTGCTATTATTCTCCTGCAGCTTTATTCACATGTTCTCAACTGAAGTCACACTGTGTGGTATTTTTGCCACTGGTGACATGAAGAAGGATAGTTTCCCTGTCATCGGCACTGTCGCGCTCCTTCATATTGATGAAGGTTGTTTTACACTCTTTATGATTGTAGTGCTGGTGAGAGTTACAAGTTGGCATCATGGCTGAACATACCAAGGGTCCATTAAAGTCTGGGCCAGTTGCTGTATGACTTGTATCTCACACTGTCAGCACCATGTGGTGTTAAAAGATCTAATAATTTTGCTGAGGGATTATGTGGCTGTATGTAAGTCTCTCAACACTTAGATTAGAAAGATAGATTTTTACAATGGGAAAAGGCTCAGCCGACATCACATAGCAGCATTGTTTCTCTTTTTTTTTCCTGAACAGACTGCACTATAATTTGGCACAGAAACACGTGAGAATTTATGTTTCTGTGGGATTGTGGGGGTTGGCTAGTGACATGAATGCAATTGTTATTTATCTGTCATCCAACCTGTCTGTATTTACTCAGATGTTCAATATGTGACTATCAAGATGGAAAAAATTCTGTGTATTTTATGTGTGAGGCGTCGCCTTTGTAGGTTTCAGTAACACTTACCTATGTTCACAGTTTAAAGGATAAAGTTGGGGGAGAACTTGTTGATCATTTCCAATAAATCAAGTTCCTACACTTGGATTTTAGATGTTATATTTTAGATACGTAAGGGATAATGGCCAATGAGCTATCCATTGTCAGGATGTAATGGACGACTGGGACGCCAGAACCATCCGACCCACAGCGGAGTAGGGCTGCCCCCTAATAGTCGACCAAACGTTAGTCGACCAGAAAGGTCATTAGTTGTCAAGATTTAATTGGTCGCTAAGTCGCAGAAAATGTGATACTCTATTACTAGCTGTGCCTTGTCAAAAGTAATCAAAACCTTAGTACGTGCGTTTACATGGAGCCATGTATTCCTTTTGCATTCGGGTTGGAAGCCCTACCCAAATAGAAATGCTCCTTGTAAACACCTCAACCCGAATGAAAACAGCCAACCCAAAAGAAAATCTAATCTAGTGCACAGGGGTGGGATATTCCTTTTCAGAACCTGAATGGAAGAATTTTTCTGGCTTGTATACACCTCCTACCCGATTCCAGCCATTCCGTTCTTTCTGCGCATGCTCATTTCCTTGCCCTTCTGGCGTGATGACGTCTACAGCGTGCATAGCAACGGGCTGAGATAGAGCAGTCAGACTCGTTGCACTCACCGGTTTCCATTCGCCAAAGCACGATCATCTATCTCCCTTCTTCAACCTTCTACCTCCCTTCTCCTCCTCAACAGATGAAGCATTAGCAGAACAAGGTTGTTGTCGTACTGCTGCTTCAAGAATATAAGCAAAACAAGCCCAAAAAAGGCACTAAGAACGGTGTCGTCAAGCATCTTGTTATCTGGAGCGTGGACTACAGTGTTTTCTTCCGGTACACGTAACATCCGCCCTGCCCCCTATCCAATCAGAAACCTTCCCTGCCCCAAACCTTGCGCAGACCCAAATAAAGGCGATTAAACAGATCTCCCGTGTAAACCCTCATTGGGAATGAATATTTCCTATGTAAACTACCTGGAAAAACTTTAATTCCGAATGATTTCATTCAGATTTATTTCATTCTGAATGAGAAGCCATCATGTAACCGCACCCAATTTGAAAGGACAGACACGGGAAGTGTCCACGCTCAGCAGTCAAACAGGAGTTCCGTTACAAACCAATCACAGCCGACAGATATCTTTCCCTTCTTCTGTAAATCTTCAGTCTGATAAATATGGAAAAGTTGATCATGTTAGTGCAGGGCTACCCAGAGCTTTACATCTGTCCCACAGATGATAGGCCTACACACTTATAAACAGCATCTAGAAGAAGATCAGGTCTGCACTCAGGATTTCAGGTTAACAGATGATGATAAAGTGCTTGTTCAGATTGCTTAGCAACCTCAGACGCAACTTGCCACCGCGTTCTTGAAAGCTGGCACAGAAAAGGAGAAAGATTAGCACTAAACGTCCGACCTTGTGTTTTCAGGTGGTTAAAGAAGCGGCATGTGTACAGCCTCTTAATTTCCAGGACTGGTACCTGCGGTTATTCCACTGGCTAGTTAATAACATATCGGGCAGGAAATCCAAAGTGTGGGATCATTTTGAGAAGATGAAGGATGAACCCAAGGTGATATGTAAACTCATCTTCATTGGTCAACTACAAACATGACGTATCATCTGAAACATGGAAGTAGCTACATGCCCATTAGCCCACAGCGTCATTAGCAGGCGGCTCGCTCAGTGTGTGACGTGCACTTGTAGATAAAATATAGGCCTATATCAATGAAGGTTCATTAGTACGGTTTTGTATTTCGCTGTAATGTAGCACAGTGTTAACAATGTTACTGATACTATTCTTTCTCACACCTTCAACTCAAACCATTGTGTTGCCCCGCCCAAAATATATAATCTAATAATTCAATTAATATCGTAAACATGCGGGCAACTAGTCGACTAATGGCTCTAAATTTGTTTGTGTGTTAACAGTCATTTTCCTGTACTGTTGAGAGGATGAGAAATGTTGAAGTCATAGTTGTAATTAGATGTTAACTTGTTAACTTTGGCTACATCCCTGTTGCTATGGTTACTCATTTGAGATGGAGGCTGATATTATGTAGCCAGCACATCATGTTAGAGCTCTGAACAGAGTTTTAGTGGAACTACTTAGTGGGTGTCCTATATTTGGAATGAATGGACAGCCTGCAGCCAGTCACAACCAGGACCATGGTATGATTCTCATTAAATCACTACAAGAAACTACAATATTTTTACACTAGGGTCTCATCTACCGAGCCGAGCTACAACAGTACATTAGTACATAGCCATGGTGTATCTGCATTGCTGTACATTATGTCCCTCTGCCTGCTTCTCCCAGTTTCTCACGGCCTGTATCTTTTATCTTGACGCTCTTTGTCTTGTGATTTCTTGCAATTGACTTCTTGCGCCTGATATGTGACGTTCAAGGCTGTGTGTCTGTCTGCGCCTTTGTCTGTGTGTGTGTGTGTCTGCATGTGACTGTTTCTCAAGGGAACATTTCCGTGGAAAAATGTAATGCTTATAGCACTGCATCCTTCATGATTATGTGCGTGCAAAGAGGAACACACAGGTCTCATTTACTCTGATTCACCTAATTGTATTCCTGTTAATTGATATCTGGCTTTCAGCAGCCACAGGAAAGCCTTTGGGTGTGCGTGACATTTAAGGAAACAGGAGTGTTTTCAGTCCCAAACAAATGTTCAGTTCATCCGAGTTAAAGACTCAGCTTTAGAAGACTCAGCTGAGCATAAATAGTGAAAGATAAGACACGTGAGGCTTAAGTTGGAAGTGGGAATCGTGCTAAGATGAGTTCTGGATATAGTTTCTGTTCATGCATCGGTGCATCATTATGAATTTAACCATTTTTAGAACATCTTCCAAGAATTTACGATCGAATCTTGTTCTTCTGCTTCTGTCAGAATTCCCAGTTGTGTTAAAGCCCAAGGCTGGTTAGTCACCTGGACAGCAGATTTCAGAACAAATAAATCAAAACAAACTCGCTGAAGTGTCTCTGTGCCGGTGAAGCCTTAATGAAGAGTGACTCACAGCTTGTTTCTCGGTTTACCTTCAAGCAGAATAAGTTTGTTGGAGTCTGCTGCTGTGACATTGTGCTTCTTATTCAGTAGGGCTGTACCCGACTCAGGATTGTGACCATCAAATAGGATTTGGCTGTTTACTATGAATATTCCATTGTTTCTTTTTTCCCATATAGAGTCTGAGAGTTTGAAGATGATTGGTGGGATGTTCAGGGTGGCAAGTGACGTTCATGTAATATAGTAAGCAAGCCAAGTTAGCCCTCGGAGCTAATATGTGCTAACTACACCAAGGTTGGATCGGAAATGTCATGACAGTAGATTTCAAATTTAAGCCAGAGACTCCTGTGAGCTGTAAATTGAGCTAAGCTTCTCCTCCTATTTTCCAAAATTTATACATCAAACAGTCAGCCAAATAATTTTAAAAGATGTATTAGTCGTATCTGTGCACTAGAGGCATGCCGTATCATCTTGTGCACAATAATACCGGTTTCATTTTCAATATCATATGAAAAATTCATATTGTGATACTTGTCATATTTAGACTTGTTGACATATTGACGTCATACTGTTACCCACGGCAACAGCAAGCATGGCTGAAAGCGAAATTAAAAGCAACTCTGCGGCGGTTCCAAAAAGAGGAGCAGCTTCAGTAGTGTGGAATAAACTGTGGCGTCCTGAATGTTTTATGAACAGCCCCGGACTTCTCACACTCTTTCAGCGTCTTACCGCTCAGAGGGAACTCATTCAGCGGCTCCTCTGGCAGCAGCACAGCGTCTCTCCCTCTCCTTTCTCACCGTGCGCACACGGGAGTTGGTGTCATCAAGTCATTTTGTCATAAACCGTTGGTAATGTAAACCTACGTGACACTCACAGCTGAGATATGTGAATGTGTGATAGTTGTGGTATCATAACAGCCTGTCACAGGTTACAGCGTGATGATTAGAGGAGAATCGACAGAGCATGAAGTAATTATAGTAATTATATTTTGTGTATTTTGTTGAACCTGCTGTGCACACACTTCGAATACTCTTATCTGCTTTTAAATGCAAAGTCTGTACAGACTTAATGTTGGACTCTGTGAGGGCTTCCCCTGACCTGACCATGAGGCCGTGTCCGTGAACCCAGTGTCCCACAGTTGTTCACACAAATCCTATTGGTGTGCTGCCGCTGTAGCAGCAAATGTAGCAGAGTGAGAGAGTGTGCGAGCCAAGCGTGCTGAGAGAGGGGAGAGGAGGGGCTTTCCGACTCCACAACAACACTGGCGCGAGTGAGACTATAGAGAGGAGAGAGAATGCGGCAGAAGGAGGGAGCAGACTGTCAGTGGCCGACTCTGGGAGAGAGGGATAGAGACGGATTCTCACTTCTTTTTTCTGGCTCTTCCCTGCTTCCTTTGCCTGCGCTTGTTCTGTCTTCGCTTTCACTCCACACTCATCTGCTTTCAGTTCTCTCTCTCTTTCTTTGCTGCTACTCACTGTTTTTCTCCCTGCAGTCTTTATTCTTCTGTCCTACATTCTGACTTGCTACTATCTGTCTGTCCTCCTCTTCCTCACCTATGGCTACCTGACGGTGAGCTTCCCCCTCTGCCGTCCTTCTCTCTTTTTCACCACCATCCCTCTTTCTTTCTTCTTCCTCAGTCTCTTCCCTTCTTTACTTCGATCTGTCCTTCCCTTTGCACCTGTCTGTCATCTATCCTTTGTCTTTCGGTGTGAGGATGCCAGTGCTGGAGGGGCTCTGGGGCCCAGATCTTAGGATGCGAGACTCCAGTCTTGGGGTCGAAGTCGGGGTATGTCCAGACGAGGCTCCTCACTCGCCGGTCTGGGGGCCTCTCAGGACACCACCTATTACCTGCGGGGGTCTGTCGCTGGCCCTAGAGCTCCCTGCTCTCATACGGCAGCTCAGGGCAGCCTGGAGAGCCCGCAGGGGAGGCCCTCGGGGGCCTGAGAGAAGTCAGGCGAGCACTTGGGTGGAAACAGAGAAGGAAGAGGTAGAAGAGGTGAAGCTTGACATAGAGGACAGGAGCGCTCAGCTGGAAGGTAACTTGCGCATGTTATAAGTACAGTAAAGCTCATGGGATTTCTCATGAATGTTTAATGTCTAATGCATGTTTTTCCTTCTTTGTGTGACCCAGTAACTGTGTGCGCGACATAAAAACACATCCGTGGTAGAAAACACACTCCTTCATGATGTGTACTGATCTGTATAATTTGTTGTTTGTCTCTTCATATAGTGGTCATGTTTTTTGGCAGGTTTCTAAGGTGTCTGGCCTTGTCTTTGTGTGGTTTTCTGCATCAGTTTTTGCATTTGAGTGTTCCACATTTGACTCCATGCCGCGACGCACGTTTTCATTTTTGACAAGTGTACATGTGTATGTGTGTGAGACAGATAATCTTTGACAGCTGATGGTTACGCACGTGTTTGTGAGTGACGTGGTTCGAGACGAGGTTCAGAGCAGTTCACACACCCAGACAGAGGAGACGGTGAAATGAGGGATTTGTGCTGTAAAGCCAGAGTGCGTTACCATCTGCTGAGCCGCACTGATGACACTGACTTGATGCCATCAATCAAGCCGAGTCCGTCTGTCTGGAGTGCGACATGGGTGACAAGTCAGTCAACATTGTGGACAGTTTTATGTGAGTTACGTCAGTAGGGAAAGGATGATTCTACCTTAAAGGGACAGTACACTCAACATACATATTTTTCCTTTTACCTGTAGAGCTTTTAATTAATCTAGATTGTTTTGGTGTGAGTTGCTGAATGTTGGAATATCAGCTATGGAGATGTTGACGGATGATATAATGGAATTAGATGGCACTCAGCTTGAGGTGCTCAGAGCACCAAAAATATATTTGAGAAACTCAACAGCAATGTCTCTTTCCAGAAATCATGACCCGGTTACTCAAGATAATCCACAGACCTTGTTGTGAGCAGTTTTGTGTAGGAACTATTTTGTTTCAAACCAACTACACTTGCCAAGTGTATCACTCAGTACGTTTACATGCACACAGTAGTTGAGCTAAGCTCATTGCTGGGCTAATCAGTCAAGTTGGACTTCTCGTCTTGTCTGAGTATACATGCAGAAGAGAAAATCGAATTTCTGACCAAGTACATCTGACTCCGCCTCAATAGGCAGCGCTGTGTCTTTTTTAATACAGTGCGTATTGAACTAGTTCAGGTTGTTGTTCAGAAACCTTTTTAAATAAATCCTTGTTTCGTGTTTTCCTACCATCCATAAACTTCAAAATGCTTTGCTCCTTTAGCTGTCGGAGCATGAATGTAGTTTCCTCGTCTATCCAGAAGTGCATCTTCTGCTTCTCAGTTGCCATGGTGTTTGTTTGTTTGTTTTTCCGGGAGTTACTGCACTGCTGCTACACCAGAACGCCAAGTCGTACTCCAGTTGGACTAAGTGGATACATGCAGCAATAGTTCGATTTTCAGACGAATTATCTAGGTGTGTTAGTCGAGCCACGGATAGTCCAATTTCAGTTGGACTATGTTTACATGCATTTAAAAGTCTGGTTTCAGTCAGACTAAGCCAGTAATTAGTTTTTCTCAAGCTGCATGTTAACGTACTGATTGTGCAGAAGGAGGCGTTTATCTACTGTTAGCTCTCGTAGCATCACTTAGCTAAGTAACGTTATAGCTCTGGAGGTTGCCATCAATGTTGACATCTGGCACTGTCACAAGCCTCTCGTCCATGAGTAGATGCACGCTTCCTTCTGCACAGTGATACCTTTGGTGGGTGTACTTTGATAGAAAGGAAATAGTCCCTACATGGAACTGCTCACAACAAGGTCTGTGGATTATCTTGAGTAGCCAGGTCATGACTTCCAGAAAGAGACATTGCTGTTGAGTTTTTTAAATGTATTTTTTTTGCTGCTATAGCAGCACCACTTTAGAATGAAAATACAGACAGTACTTACTCACCCTCATGCCAACAAGAAGTCCAGTGTAGTTTTTTAATCCACAAAACTTGTTCGGGGTATCGGAGGATAACAGCTAGCCGGATTCTTCCATACTCTTGAAGTGCATGGAACCCACATCCAAAATCATTTTGAAAATGTAAGAAAACTCTGCGAGACTCGAGAACAAGAACTTCTCTGAACATTCTCGAGTCTCATGCGAGTTGCCGTGTAAACACAGCACGCCTGCAGGCTAACTGACCATGGTGAGAAATTGTGCTATAAAAGTGGAGTAACTTATGTCTTTTCAAGTCAGTTTTGCATGCCTCAGTTTCAGGGCACTTGGATTACGAAGGACGAGCCATTCTTACGTTTTTGAAATGCATTAGCAGAGTCTGTATTTTCATTCTAAAGTTGTCATTTCCTTTAATGTCAACGGTAATGAAAGGAAATGAGGTGCATTTCATATTTCACAATGATGGTGATGAACAATAGTGACCTGACATTTTTCATTCTGTACATTCTGATATTGACTCAGTGGTTATTTTTTGCGCAGGGTGGTGTTTTTAGTTTGATCTTAAGAGTTCTGCCTCATACATTGGCATCATGTTATTGGTAATGTAATATTAGATTGACTCAAGGACTTACGGTGTGAAATTTTTTCTTGAAAGTGGTGATCTAATTGCCATTTATTGATATGAGTATGATGCAGTAAAAGGACTTGACAATAAAACTAATACTTAAATCAGCTGATAACAGAAATGGAACAATGTACAAGTAAATCTTTAACATGCTTTTGAAGAGTTATGATGAAGTGATGATTCATACTGTGGGGAATCACCTGTTCGTAACCACTGACTCATAAGGTGGAAAACAGACAAATGTACGCTCTTCACTGCCTGCGACTTTCCCTTTGCTTCGTGATGACCTCATTCGTTTGATGACTCCCTACAGGGGTGAAGGGCTATCTGCGCAATGTTTGACTTCACTGCATATGACATGCGTCGAGACACTGTGAGATAACTTGTCAGTGGTGATGGTGAGTCATTCTGACATTCTCAAGGATGTGAAGGGCTGAAGAAAAACACCAGTATTTATAGGTACATTTAGGTAGAAAAAGTACCGAGTGTCAGAGTTCAGCATTTTACCCCTAAAGGCAAAACACTTTATTAAATCTCAAAAAACATTTATGAAAATGTATTAAAAGTTGCCCTTTTTGACATCAGGACATTTCTAATAGCTAAACACTGAGGTAGATGAGCTGTCTGGATTAAATGACGATATGTAAAGTAAAATAAGTTGAATGTTTGTAGTGCTGTAGAAGACAATTCACCTGCAGGTTGTATACTTTTTCCTGTCTTTTGTGTTAATGTGAATGGTTCAATAAAAACTAAATTATAACAAACCATTAAAATGGAACTGAAATGAAAGTCCTTTTTACACAAAGATCCCAAACTACTTCCATGACCAAAACCCTAATTCCGCTCCAGTCTGTAATTTTAGTCAGCATGCCGTCATTCTGTAAGCCAAAGAGGCGTGACGTGTAACACAACAGCTTCAGCCTCTAGTGTGACAGATACCATGCGTCAGCAGCGCTTTATAAGCAATAATGATGGCATTAACAATCACTTATGTTCCCGTTATATGGCGGCTGATATTGTCGCCTGCTCGGAGGGCAAGGAGCTTCCAGGCATTATTGTCTCCCCAAGTTATGGACATTTTTGCTTGCAGTTCTTCTTCTCTAAGTTAGCTGCTAACTGCTATTAGCTGCTTCTAAAATCTCCAGTGTCTTGCACCAGGGGGCGTCTTTTTTTTCTGAAATAGTCATAAGCAATCTATAACAAAATCATATGTTCATGTTACTTAAACTTTATAAATTCCAAATTCTAATTTTGGTATTTTTGTCATATACAGAGTTGCAGTGATGACTGGTTATATGTGTGTTGGTGTTGTCCAATGTCAAGTCTGTATTTGATCATGTGACGATACTATAAATTATACAGGCTCTTTTGACACAAAAGCTGGCACTAGGGCTCATCATAATAGCACCACTGTCTTTCACATACCACATTGTCAAAATGTCACACCGGCCCCGTCCTGCAGGTTTATACTTTATATGGGGGCATGGATTTGCCGCTGTTATTACCTCCACAGCCACTTTAAAGGTGGAATAACTCTGCTCCCCCGTTTCGTGATTGTACCTGATGTACTTTTTTATACACAGCAAGGCAGAATAACAATATTCCCACCTTGTTACAGGCAGTTTAAAACGGGTTAGTCAATTAATCAGCTAGTCGACAAGCAGCAGATTTACACAGATTTAATTACACATTGGACCTTTAATTTTTTCAGACGAAGAAGAAAAAGATGAAGATATACTTTGTTAATCCCCAAGGGGAAATTCAATTCTATTTCACTCTGTTGTCACATACACACAGGCCTGAAATACACACACATGCACAAACAGGATCTATATTCATTAAATGGAGAGCAAGGTGGCTGCCTTGGGCAGGCACCCCAAGCAGTTGGGGGTTCAGTGCCTTGCTCCTTGGCACCTCAGCAGCACCCAACAGGTGAACTGGCACCTCTCCAGCTACCAGTCTACACTCCATATTTGGTCCGGACGGGGATTTGAACTGGCAACCATCCAACACATGTCATAACAAAACACACTGAAAAAGAAAAGCGTGCAGTGTCTCTGTGTGGAAGCACAGTATGTCTCTATGTTCCCAGATAAAGAGGGAACATCACCTGCCACTGTGTGCCACTGTTTATATTCGAGTGTTGGCTGCATATGGCACGATGTGTCCCACTGTCTCTCTTTCTGCGATGGAAAACAGCCCCAAAGCACCATTTGTGCCGTAAACGCCCACAGATTCACTGAAGCCAAGTAAACATATTTATATCAGCATCCCATGTGTGAGTGTGTGCCAAGTGTGCAGTCTTGTTTTCTCATTTGGAATCAGGGATTTAACCTCATTTGCAAGTGTGTGTGTGTGTGTGTGTGTGGCGAGTGTTTATTATCCACGGGTGCAGACGAGACACGTGTGCATTGCCGCGTCTTCAAACACCCTTTCTAACTGATTCACGTTTTCATCCTAAGTGACCCAGTTCTGCGCCGCACGGAGACAATGACCTATTTACCAACAGAGAGTTAAAGGAGGGGGGGGGGGGGGGGGGGGGGGGGGGGGGGGGGGGGGGGGGGGGGGGGGGGGGGGGGGGGGGGGGGGGGGGGGGTTGTTGTTGAACAGGAAGGAATGAGGGATGATGGTAAGGTTGAGGGGGTAGTAATGGAGAGGAGGATGTGGAGACAGGAGCCAGAGGAAGGAGAGGAATGAAGGATGGAGTGACATATAAAATGGAAGTATGGAGAGATGGCTCGAGTGGAGGAAGAGAGCCAGAGGGTGGTGTGTGTGTGTGTGTGTGTGTGTGTGTGTGTGTGTGTGTGCGTGTGTTGGAGAGGGGGGTTTTCCAGATGATGTATTTCCCTCTCTCTGCCCACCAGCACGCAGGATAAAAAAGCAAAGAGGCTTTCCCCCTCTTCTCCTTTTCTTGCGCAAACTAGGCCAGCAGGACTCGTCTGCCTCACGCAACCAGGCTGAGTCACTTCCCCCGAGCGGTTTATATTTGTTATAAGATGCATAAATAGAGAATGATGCCACTTTTCCACCGTATGTTTTATGTATAGCTGCCCAGCCTACACAGCACACCAAAACCACGGCACGTTGCCTGCAAACTGCGCCGCTTTGGCAACCCACACTCGCAAAGCTGGCATACCGAGGAAGTTACCACAGGGACTCCAACCCCATTAACAGGTGCTGTGTAGGTCACAGAGGTGAAGCGAACTGGCAACCTCGGGGACATAATACGCTCCAGTTCCTCACATCACGGTGTGTAAATTATTTAGTATTCCCATAGTTTTTAGTTTGTTCAAGTGAAAATTTCATGTGTGCGCATGTGCGCTGCAACTTGGGACCCAGTTCTGTTGTGTCTTGTTGTCACTGGCCTCGGGGTGTGTGAAATGCGCATTTTAAACAGAGGCAGTATTCAAGCACCCTTTGTGCTGCTGTGTTCCCTGGCTGTCTGATAGGTGCTCACGCAGCAAGGATTAAAAACCCAGAATGCTACTTCTGGGACTCTGCAGACATTTCCTGTGGAAAACATTCATACAGTAGACAAAACTGCTTGATATCCGCTTAGGAGAAAATGTGCTGTCAGCATGTCACAAATACACGGGCACTTCAAACACATGAGGAATACGCATTTCCTTTTTCTTGTTATGTCTTAGAATCAAATAGAAAAGCTTTGTTTAGGCAGGAAAAGTAGACCAGACCTTCTGTTTGGTCCTCGGTTACAGTTAGGGTTAGGTGTTAAACTCAGCACTTTTAAGGGTACTCGCTAAAGTACGTTGGCACTGTTGAGTAACGATTAATGTTGAGTCCATTGGTGCCAAATGGTGAAACCTGAGAGCGTATCTTCGTGTGAAAGCCAGGTTTAGACAAAGTGCCTCAAAGCCAGGAAGCTCTGCAGTGCCCCCTGGTTCAACTTCAGACGGGGGTGTTTGGACAAGAGGCCGAAGCACCCCAAAACTTAGAGGCTCTGTGGCTGCTCTTTGGGCAAGCCAAAATCATCACTGCTGCCGCGACCAGTTCAAATGTGGGGGGCGGCTGTGGCTCAGAGGTAGAGCTAGTGGTCCACGAATCGGCTCCTCCAGTCTGTCGAAGTGTCCTCGAGCAACATACTGAACCCCAAATTGACTGTGTGACTGTATTGAAAACTGAGAAGCAGGTGGCACCTTGTATGGTAGCCTCGGCCACCAGTGTGTGAATGGGTGTGTAAATGGGTGAATGTGAGTGGTGGGATGCATTGGGTAAAGCACTGCGTCACTGTCACCCTATCGAAGGGCGGGACAGATAGTCTAGCACAAAGACCACGGCTGCGTTCCAAATCACAGACTATTTCTTTTAACGTTTAGCAGGTACTGCAGCTGCTTTTAAAGTTCGTACTGTAAGAGTAGGTATTGCATGAACAGGATGTATCCACTCAGTCCAGCACTAACTGGCACCATAACAGCTGCACACTGTCGTGAAATCCATTCTCCTCGGGCAAACTAGGACCAGATGCGTGATGTCCGGGTGATTCAGATGTGTCAAAGATCCTCTTGTTTCAGAGAGGCTGTCTTAAGAGAGACTCTGAATCTGCGTTTATGAGGCTGATTATGTTGAACATCTTCACCAGGGAACACTTTGTTCCGTTGTCCCGTCATCACCCTGCTGACTGCTCCACTTATCGTTCAGCCATCGACCTTTTTCTAGCTCTGGTCTCTAAACTCACCTCCTCGCTCCGTACTCCTGGAATGTTTGATTCATGGATTTTGCGGGGATGTCTGCCAAAAAAGGCCACGACAGAACATCAGTAATAACACCAGATATTTATATTTTTCATCCATGGTTTTCCTTTTTCTCCCCTCCTCCTCCTCTTTCTCTGTGTGCAGCTGATTGCAGACTGAACACTGGTCATGCTGGTGTGTTGCTGGTCGAGAGACGAGGCTCCTACCCGCTGATTGACCTGCGAATCCTCAAAAGTGAGTCTCCTCAACAACTTAAATACAAGATGATACACATCAGTAGATCATGTTGACAATTGTCAGTCCAGTAACACAACTCTCATCTGTTTGTTTTCTTAGCAACAAATTATTTCGTCAACAATAAACATAATTTTTTTGAGGAATTCCATTCAAACTTTATACAAACAGCGATTACAGTAAATGTGTAACCTCAAAACCTTGAAACCTTAAGAGACTGCCAGCAATCTTGGCCAACATCGCTCTCTTTAAGAGGCTGCAGCACACCATTTTTCAAGCTAGGGAGTAGAAGGTAGTGGTATCATGTCAAACTAGACAAACCAAGACATCCATTGATAGCACCACTGGATGGAAAGGGGTTAAATAAAGCTCTAGAGTTAAGGCCTTTGCACATTGAATCAATTTTTTTCGGATGTAGTTTTTCAATGTGTCATCCCAAACTGATCTCGATGTGTTTTATTGTTCTCTTCATTGTGAAAATTCGCAATACATGCCTTTAGGTCAAACTTGGGCAAGGAAAACTGGTGTGGCCATTTACAGGGGGGTCCTTTGACCTCTCATCTCAAGATACATGCAAGTTCTATTCGTACCCACGAGCCTTCCCCTTACACACATGCCCACTTTATGCTAATCACATGCCGTTTTTAGCAGTAAAACATGCAGTGTAAATTAGTTACTTTCACGTGTTGTAAAAACGGTGTATTTGAATCTGGTCTATAATAAGTCTATCTCATTGTAGTGAGACAGGTTTTGGAGAAGGACTTCGCTGTTAAAATGACCTGTACTGACCGATAAAATAATCACAGCCTCATGAACTCTCTATAGCCACAAACTAGAGACCTCAGGCACTCAGAGGATGGATGACTTTCATAGGTGTATTGGCAATAAGGAGATTTCTCAGCAGTTTGCAGAACAGAGGTGTTTGCTATCCAATCCAATCGCTGACAAATGCAGTTCTTACAGAAAACTCCAGGAGTCAAAGTTTTTGATACCAAATCAAGGCATGAATTTTTTCTATGGTGTTCCTCGAGATCTTGGTGTCTCTATTTGGTATTTTGGAGGCATTTTTGACCCAAATTATTAATTATTGAGTGGTGAAATATGCTTAAATTTAGCATCAAAGCTGTGTAACAGATATCATCAACCTAAAAATTGCTGTAACAACTGATGAGAGATAATGGAGCATGGGAATGGTCGCCATATTGTTCCATCATAATGTTCTAAGCCCATATACACTCTAGACATTTAAATTTGAATGGGCACCTAAACGAAACACAACATTTATTGCAGATTGATGACTAGAAAAACTTGACACTGAGTGCTTTCAGATGAGGTGTACCACTTCTGAGTGGCATGTACTGTTGACCTGCTATCTCCCCGTGAAGATCTCGTGTCCCTGGCAAAAACAGACACAATTGTGCTTAGTTGCTGAAGCCAAAAATCTAAATCCAGGCAAAGAGCCACATATAAGTCAGGAAATCTTGAAAAAGTTTATTGATGCTTATCTGTCACAGCTGCACCTGTTTTTCATGTACTGTTCATAGTCTAATGTAAATCACTTGTAATTTCAGCCAGTGCCCAGCAGGGGGAGGTAGAGGCCGGCACCAGGAGAAAGGTGAAGCGTCTGCTGAGTTTTCAGAGATACTGCCACGCCTCCAGGCTGCTCAGAGGGCTGGTGCCCCACACCCCCGGGTCACTGCACCTACTGGACGACGACTACCTGGGACAAGCTGCAGTAAGAATGCACACACTTAGAACCCAACAAATCTGAGGTGCAAGTACGCTGTATCTCCGCTCTCCCTGTGTTGTGTATGTGTCAGGTGTGGATCACACATCAGTTCTGAAAACAGTCTGTCTTTCTCTACAGCACATGCTATCAAAAGTCGGCACATGGAACTTTGACATCTTCCTCTTTGATCGTCTTACGAATGGTAAGATGGATTTTTGTGTTACTTAAAAGTTTAACAGATGTTGACCCTCACCGACTATATTCCTTTACATTGTGTTCTGTAAAATGTTATTTTCAGACTGACTGTACTGAGTGAATTTATGCCCTATAGGTAACAGTCTGGTGACTCTGATGTGCCATCTCTTCAATGTCTACGGCCTCATTCACCACTTTGAGCTGGACATGGTCAAACTGCACAGGTTTCTTGGTAAGCTGCGAGAAAGTCTCAGTGATTACACCCATCCACCCTCTGCCCCGCTTTGTTCTACATACAACACAAGGAAGATACAACACAGTACATACGTTAAAATAAAAAGAAAAAGCATTGCTTTTATAAAAGATAGCGGCATGATAATGGTGACGTGAGAATCATTCAGAGGACAAATAACAGGGTTGCCACAGGTCTGGAAAGTGCTTGAAAGTGCTTGGATTAAGCCCACTAGAATCTCTAAGTTTGAGCCTCTGCTGGCTGTTTGACTCTCTAAAAAAATTCAACATTGAACAGTGTATTTGTGTCTCTGTGTCAAGGCTAGATCCCAGAGCCATGCACCCCTCCCTCCTGTCAAAAGTAATGGGAATGCTTTTTACCCGTAATGTTACTTCTCCAGCAAATGGCTAAAAAAAAGTCCCAAATAATATGTATTTGGCAAAATGCAGTGACTGAAAAAAATAAGTTAAACTGATGTATTACCTTCAGCAGTAAGGAAGTAATATCAGGTGTTACTGGGAGGATTTCAGTAATATTACAGTGAGGTGTTTGGACCAAGAGTAATGCCAAACTGTAGATCAGCTGTGCACGAAAACTCCCGGGGAGCCTTTTCAAGAGTAGCCGCTCCACTAGCCATGTTGTGGTGTCCATATAGCGACTGTCAGCAGCTGAAACCTGCCGGAATCAGGCCCAGCAAATCCAACAGTAATGCTGAACTGTAGATAAGGTTTTGAAAAGTGCTTGAAAAGTCCTTGAACTGTGTCATTACAAAAGAGTGGCAACACTGAATGAAATTTTTACATCAGATTTCTCAAAGAGTCTGGAAAGTATTGACTCTTGCAAATGGTCTGGAGTACTGGTGTATTTACACATAGCATTTGTCATGACTACATAGAAAGCATTTCCTCTGTAAAAGTGCATCCGGCGGCCTTTTTGGCGGGGCACAACACTCCTGAAAGCTGAGAAGGGTTTAACTTTTCAGGAAAGCCCAGACTGACGTCAGCTCTTTCTTCATCTTTACAAAAGACGCACAGGGTTTATTTCCTCACCATGAAAACCGTATGTGGATAGAGTGACGGTGTAAGGGCATATTAATCCAGTATCCATGGTAGTAGTGATTTATTTCAGTCCCTATTAGCAATTTACCAAAAACAGTTAAAAGGAATGAATAACAAAAAGACGTTGAATTAAAAAGGAAAAAACAACAACAATAAAGAACACTGACTGCAAAGGTGTAGACTGGAGCTTCAGTGTATGTTATGTTTTGCCATCAGATACAACTTAGCAACAATGGGATGTGTGTTACTATGGAAACAAATTGCGCAGTAAGCATTATTTTGTCCATTGTTCTGGGTTTTTTCCACACAAAATGCAAGATATAAAGACAAACTACAGTGACCTCCAGTCGTCATTGGACACCAGAAAATGAGAGCTAATACAAGTATTTTAGTCTTTTAAATCATCAGTTGATTAGAAATCCCTACGTCACGTATCATCATCTAGTGTCTAGTTCGTTCCTGTCATACGATCATTACATTGAAAATAAAAATCAATTCTTATTGCTTATAATCCTGGAAACCGCTGCTACTCTGTTTTCCTACTGTACTGTGTCAGGTGATTTGTTCACTGAGCTGCTGCAGCTGCTGGTCAACATCATAGACTGTATGTAAAGATGGACGACATGACGGCTCCTCAAAAATGAAGCTAAAACATCTCGTTCAGCCCCGACAGCTTACCCCAGTATAGCTCATAAACCTTGCCCCCCTCCGTGAAAGTGGATGGGACATGAACCAAACTAAAAGATGAAAGTACTCGACAAATACTTTCTTCCCAAAGATGGTTTCTGTCATTTTAGGTAGTCCTTATCACGCAGATGTATGTTCAAATGCTCGTTTTACTTTTAAGTTTGGTTTTAATTCGTTTTTTGATGCTATAAAATGGGGGTTTGAGGTCATGATTGACAGCTGTGTGTGCGGGATATTGCTGCTTCATCATCTGATTGCTACAGTGCAGACTCTGGCTCAAAATGACGCCACCAGCACAAGAAGTCAGCATCTGTATCTGAGATATTTTGGCTTCATTTTTTGACAGTGGGAGGAAGTGGAGACACTTTGTCCATCTTTATATACAGTAACATTGTCAGAAATATGGATTCATCAACGCATGTCGATTCTGAATATTTTAAACAGTTTCAATGCTAATTTTCTGTAGCATCGATACACCAGTACCAGACGTGCTCTCTCTTATTGTTCCGGTTTACTACAGTCATTCTGCTGTTCTCTGCTACTAACCAAGAAAAGAAAAGTCGTAAAAATTCAGTGTAAATTCTGTGTTCACATGCCCTAGGGAATCAAAACGCCAAGCTAAAATCTCTCTAAATTGAATTACACTTCTTACACACTCTGCTCTGCTAATCAAATTAAAGCATTTACATGACAGTCTCAGCATTGTTGCCAACATTACGTTAAAATCCGATTAAACATGTGAAAGTTGAGATGATTTAATGGCGTCTAACCTTGTGTCCTGTCCTGCCAGGCATGGTGCAAGAGGACTACCACTCCCAGAATCCCTATCACAATGCTGTTCATGCTGCCGATGTCACCCAGGCCATGTACTGCTACCTGAAGGAGCCCAAGGTAATGAATAATACTGTACACACACACACTGCAAGGCTTCACCCAGCCTGAGCTTCTCCTTGACATATTCTATTAGCTTCTCTTCTGAGGGATAATACTGGCTCACTTGGACTTGACAACACATCCATCCTCCGCCTGGAGAAATCCCAGAAGCCCTCTGACCAGATTAAGTGTCTCTGCATCTTTCCCCTTATACAGTAATTGCTTTTGTGTCCTTCGTTGCTCCGTAAAGCACTTTGTGATGCACCTATTTTGTTAAAAGCACTTACATAAATAAATTGGATTCAGCCGCACACACTGCCGTGCACTAGATAACAAGCGCACACTCACAGTTTAAGATGGCAAGCCTGCTGCTCGTCTGATCAATATGCCATTTTGTCCTTTACTAACCATTAAGCATTTACCCCCACCCTGTGACCTACGTGAATTAAAATCCATAATGTTGAGTGCACGTTTTAAATGATTCAATTTAATTTAATTTTATATGTAAATCTGCTTATTTTTCCTTTTTATTTTGTACTTGGTATTTAAAAAAAAAAATCCAGAGTGTGTCCTCTACTAAACTTAAATGACAAAGTGAATTTTTGTTTTCAAATACAAATGTAAACGACCTTCTGAAATAACTTTTAATTTCATCGAACCCATTGGCATTACCTCCGCCGCCCACTAGATGGCAGTCTGAGGCTCAGCAGTAGGCGACAGGCAGCTGGTTTGGAACAGCTGCTCCAGAGCAAATAGCCAAGATCCTCATGATGCAAAAAAAAACCCTTATGATCTTTATGATAGGGTTCAAGTCTTGCGCCATTCACCAATATCGATGTAAAAACCCTTAATCACCTTTGCAGCATGTTGCAGAGGGGCCACAACAGTGACAATAATCACCGTCCTTATACCTATTGGCTTCATCCGTCTTTGTATCAATCATCATCAAGAAACTGGCATAGTGACGATCCTGCGGATACCTGTCAGGATAACACTGCAAATTAACCTCTTCATAGCACCTCTCCTGATTTCTGTAGGAGTCAAGAGTCAAGTGTCTCTCCTACATAATGAACAATCATTGCCCTGTCAACCCTTCGTGTGTTGTAGCTGGCAGAGCAGCTGAGTCCTCTGGACGTGTTCCTTGGTCTCATGGCAGCAGCCGCCCACGACGTGGACCATCCCGGAGTCAACCAGCCCTTCCTCATCAAGACCAGACACCACCTGGCCTCCCTCTACCAGGTACACACGGGTCAGAGTGAAGGTTAAAATGTGCAGCAGGTTTAGTGTCCAGCCTGTAATGAAGTCTGTTTCAAACACATTTACAGAACACGTCTGTGCTGGAGAGTCACCACTGGAGGTCCACTGTGGCCATGCTGCGAGAGTCAGGACTGTTGTCACACCTGCCGGCCGACATGTCGTAAGAACTTCTACGGAAACACTTAACATGAAAAAATATATTTTAAGGATGCCTGAGTGACGCCTTTGCTCCGTGGAGAACTGTGACCAAGATACGAACATGTGTGTCAGTGCTCTGTAGTGGGCAAACTGTTATGATGGCACTCTTTTTGACTTACTACAAAGATCTTTGGGATTTATGTCCTGCCATTTCTAGTAACACATCAGGGAACATGGATATGAGCCTCCAGGAATTCAAAGACACAGCTCCTGCAAGGAATTTAGACACAGTCACACACATACACCAATAGAAATCAGCCTGTTTGATCTGGTTAAATAATTTGGAGACATTTGGCATCATAATCTGTCATCTGCCAGACTCTGCTGTGAGGTCAGAGGTCAGAAACATCAACACAGGAGGTCTTCATTTAGCACATAGCTGTAAAAAGGAATAGAGTACTCAGTGTACAAAGTACAGCTAGTACCTCATGAGTATATTATCAAAAATGTAGCTGCAGGTAGATTCAAAATCCCCACAGGTGTTGGTGGTTTTGATATTGTGGCTTAGTGGCGCCCTCTTCTACTCTGCAGGCAGGACATGGAACAACAGCTGGGCTCTCTCATCCTGGCAACAGACATCAGCCGGCAGAATGAGTTCCTGTCGACCTTCAGAGAACATCTGGACAACCAGGACCTGGACCTTCAGCTGGCTTCACACAGGCACTTTATACTGCAGGTATGATATTAATAATAACTTTATTTGTAAAGTGCTTTTCAAGCCAAAGTACAAAATGTTTTTCCAAGATGAAGAAAACACAAAACAAAAGACATTAAGGACTTTATTATCGTCTCATTTGAGGACACTGGCAATGTTTATTTTTTTATACTTATCAGGTTCTACTGATCCCAAATACCTAGGAGAAATTAAAAATGCACACAAAACAAAAGTTCAGGTCTCAGGAGGATATATATGTAAACACATACATGTATGTACCTATGCATACATTTCCATATATCTGCAAATACATATACACACACATGCACACACACAGTAACTCAATGGGAGGAAGAAATATTGCACTAATATAAGTCCACCAGTTGTCAGGAAAAGCCATTATTCAGCAGTACTTTTTGAGACAAGCTTTAAACGTGTGAAAAGAGTCAGCTGCTCTGATGCTCAGTGGGAGGTTGTAGGGGCCAGAACTGAAAGGGCTCGATCACTCTTTGTTTTTAACCTGGACCCTGGAACAGTTAGAAAACCCAAACTAGCAGACCTGAGTCCTCACACTGGACGGTACGGTGTAAGGAGCTCAGGTATATACCCCGGTGCCAGTTCATTCAGAGCCTTGTACGTAATTAAATGTATTTAAAATGGACTCTAAAAGAGACTGGAAGCCAAAATAGGTGTGATGTGTGAGGATTGTTTTGTTTTGGTCATGTAGTGAAGCTGCTGAATTTTGGACAATTTGGAGTAGTTGCGTAGCTTGGTTGTTCCGGCAGATGAACAAGGCATTACAGTAATCAAAGGGGGAGGATATGAGAGCATGTGTATTTTTTTTTTTAATACTGAAGGACAGAAGTGATCTAGTTTTGGAGATGTTCCTGAGTTGATTAAAAACAGAACTGGACTACTTTCTTTACATGGCACTACAGATCTTTTGTAGCTGACTTTATGTTAGGAGCGAGAGGGGCCTAAGAGTGAATTTCCAAGATCCATGCATGTTTCACAAAAATGTTTAACTACACTCCATTTATACAGCCTCTCTTTCTCTTTGCCTTCAGATTGCTCTGAAGTGTGCAGACGTCTGTAATCCATGTCGGGTTTGGGAGCTGAGCAGACAGTGGAGTGAGAGGGTGTGTGAGGAGTTCTACAGACAGGGTGAGTACAGTGTGATTTTAAACAATACAAAAAGAATATATACTTGTTTTCTAATGAAAGGGGGCTACATGTAGCGCCTGTATGCCGTACGGGTTACAATTAACATGTATTTTACAACAGTGGAAGTGACTTATAGTCTTAAGACCACATTTCCCACAACCGTCTTTGCTTCATATCAAAAGATGATTTAAAGAAACTTACTGGGCAACTCAAGATGGTTGTATGATCGCCGAGTTGGTCGTGTGAGGGGTAGAAATACTGTCAGCAACATAACAATATATCTGGGGCTGTACCGAAGCTTCTTTTGAGGTTTTTGAAGGAAGCTTTGTCACTGTATTTTATGACGTCTTTAGTCTAAAACTTGAAAAACTCCCTGAACAAAATCCTCAATTATGAATAAAGTGATTCATAATTTCATAAATGAGTCTTTTGTTAAATAAATCTAAAAAATTGATTTATGGTGCTACTAGACCACGATGTCACGCTATCCCGCTCAGGATAGCCTGATGCGGGAGGATCTACTGCTAACATAACTCGGCTTGTCATTAGCACACGAGCTAACTAGCCAGTGGGGACGGCAGTTTATATCACTGCTGTTTTGCGTTATTATCGCCACCAACATCACCAACTAGGAGGAAACCACGGCTAACTTACCTGCTTACCAGAGGTTGCTCCATCGCAGCAGGCCCAGTGTTTAGGCCTGTGCCGGTAAGTCTCACTCCCAGTAGGTCCTCCTGTGTTTAACACTACAAGTTTACTTTCACTGTTGGCCCCTGTTTTGAAGACCTTGCGGATAAGTCTCGCTTTGTCTGCAACTGTAAAGGAACAGTGTGTAAGATTTAGGGGGGTTTGGTGGCATCTAGCAGTGCTGAAACTTTTATTGGTTAGATTTCTTTCATTGTTCAGTGTTTAGGGGGTTTTTACTGTGAGACGAATCATCTGCAAGTGATGCAGGTGATTATGCACTGAAGAAAACATAATTATTATATTTAATTTCTGCCAATATATCCCCCTATATCCTGCACAGTGCAAAAGCTGCACAGCATTCAAATGCTGTCAACATTCAGAATCAAGCTTCAGAGCTTGAAACTAGTTGGTACAGCCTGAAATCTATCCATGAAATTTAGGGTTAATGTACTTGAAAACAGACTTTAGCAGACGTTTGGCATCCATGTTTGTGTGGTTTTTAAGCACCTCTGTATTATTAAGCACCAAGAAGGATACACCAAAAAAACTGGAGCTTTCATGTCATTATTAAGAGATGTTTTATGTCCACAGTAATTGTAGTAATACCAGAAAATGCAGCTTAAAAAATGCTTGTGCTCCCTACATTTTTTGGCATTCATCAAAGGGTTAAGATATATAATCATGAGTATTTTATGATTATCTGCATCCTATTTTGTTATTGATGTGGATACTGTGTTCTGAATTTTGGCTGTAACCTGACAGGTGACCTGGAGAGAAAGTTTGACTTGGAGATCAGTCCTCTGTGTAACCAGCAGGCTGACTCCGTCTCAGCCGTTCAGATAGGTGAGTACCAGAGTGCATATTATACTGTATACTGTATCATCACCAAGATGCTCCTCTGCTCACTGGGAGATGACCCACCTTTGTTGTGTGTCGCTCAGGGTTCATCTCCTACATCGTGGAGCCTCTGTTCGAAGAGTGGCACCGCTTCACCGAGCCCAGCCCGCTCAGCCAGACCATGATTGGTCACCTGCACAAGAACAAGGCACGCTGGAGCCGCCTACGATACGCACGCACACCCTCAGACACGCAAACACACCCCGACGCCGAGGAGCCCGAAGGAGGAGGAAGAGAGGGGGAAGACATCCCTTAATCTCGCTCTTGTCTCTCGAGGCATTTGATCTTCCTTTGTAAACGAAGGAGAGGAGTGTTAATCGACCTCCTTGTTTGTCCTCCAGCAGATTTTCTCCCACTGCTGGTTGTTCACAGGCTCTGAAAGCAGGAGCACTGGATGGGAGGAGAAATGGCTCCCTCTGCTGGAGCGGAGGATTGTAGCCCTGCAGGGTGGAAATAAAAAAAGACGGAGAGATATTCATGGTAAAGCTTATGATGGATAATCTTAGTAAATATATGCCAATTGGACAAAGTCATGCCTTGCTCTTTAACCCAGTGATACCTGCTTCAAAGTATCTGAGGAAAGCAGGGATTAAAAGGTTACAGCTGACGGCAGAAGAGGGATCAGTGAAGAGACATGCTGTGTTTGCACAATGCTGCTAGAACAATAAAGAAGCCAAATTCTATACAGCTGGACTGTGCCGGGAAGATATATGAAAAGGTATATGAAAGAAATGAATATATCCACTATACTATGCTTTTTAAACTTTTAGACTGTATTAAGCTCTTTTCACTTTTCTTCTTTTTGTACAGCTTGCACTTCTCTTGGATGCTCTTTCGTACAAGTGTCTCACTTGTCTACTTTTCACTGAAGCGCGTTTTTAACTCACTAAGTTGGTTATGTCACGGTACTGTAAACTGTACGATGTATTCTGTTTTAACTGTGTAACCTGTTTGACTGACTGACCGATACGATTATTGACTGACACAAAGAGTTGCTTTAACGCTGATATCACCTGTCAGCTGGATGTTTTCAGACTCATGGAGAACACAAACCGGGGCCATGTTTTTTTAAAGTGTTTGTGTTCATGTAATGACATAGAAGACTATAATCTGTACATACTGTGACGTACGACCTCAGCACTTCACATGCCAAAATCTCAGCAATGTACAAACCCTTTTACTGGGTATGGATATTGGGAAATACAACCCTCACACTGCTATTACCTTTGTAACAACTTACCGGGTGCATTTATTTATCTGGTAACCTCACTTTACGAGCTCATATACAACAAAGCCTTAACAGCAACCTGGTCTGTCTGTGAAACACGTTTTGTAACAGTGTTGTGACATTTTCTGGACAAGCTTTCCTACAGTCTCTGCCTGTTTTTTCTTCAGCCATACCAGCATACTGAAACACACACTGGTAGGACTGTAGCAGCTTGCTTCCTGTTCGATCTTTCACCCAGTGTCAGGGTCAGGTTGGGTCATACGCCCACTGAGCAATGCCAAGGTGCAAATGTACTGTTCTGATATGTCGACTCACTGCTCTGTTACCTCTCTGAAGCTTTTGTATTACTTTCTTTTTACACTTGCTGCAGGCACTGTGTGCACTGCGTCTTATGTCACACACTTGGGCCAATTAGTAATTCTAGATACCTCTACTTTCAATACTCAATCCCTGTGACCCCATAATGCAAAATTACCACATTAACTTTGGTGTTTTTCAACCTGGACCCTATTTTCCTGTGTTTTTGTGTCTAAGTGACTAATGGGAACAACAATTTTTCAAAGTGGTCCAGTATTGAGTGAGACTGCTGCCAGGCTGCGATGTAACCACTCAGGGCGCTGTCAGTAAAGAGCTTGTTTTTGCCACTGACAGGCTCAGATTGACTGTTGTGTCTGACAATGATATGGAAAGGATCCCTACAGAGATAGACCTTTTGTTTAAGCAGAGACCGCCCTGAAATCGCCATCGCCAAACCCACCAGACTCCATTTAAATAAACGGTAATTTTATTGTGTATAAAGTCAGCATATTTGCACGTCTAACTGGGTGAATTACGGGTTTATTTCAACCAAACCAGAGTTGGTGATTGTTGGCACAGTCGAAAGACGAACCAAGGTGGTTTATTGTGAGCTTTATTTTGTTTCTGTCATTTTCAAATGAAGTGTGTTTTATGATGATTATAATCACTTTTTATTTCAATGGAGTCTGGTTGGTTTGTCAATAGTGATGTTGGGGCTGGTTAAATTAAAAAAGGTCTTTCTCTGTAGGGATCCTTACCATAATGTTGTCAGACACTAACAATTCACCTGTCAGTGGCAAAAACAAGCACTTGTAGTGGACATAAATCATCCATCCATCCATTTTCTGCCGCTTATTCAAGGCTGGGTTGCAGGGGCAGCAGGTAGCAGGTGACCAAAGTACTCCAGACATCCCTACCCTCCGCAACGCTTTCCAGCTCCTCCTGGTGGATCCTGAGGCGTTCTCAGGCCAGACGAGACATATAATCCCTCTTATGTGTTCTGGGTCTGCCCCACAGCCTTCCACTAGTCGGACATGACTGGAACACCTCTAACAGGAGGTGACCAGGAGGCATCCTGATCATAAATCAAAGGTACATGGATGGCCCTGAGTGGTTTCATTGCAGCTTATTTCACAGCTGATGCCTGCATCGCTGCCGCTCAAGACTGGACTGGAGTTACCCTTAAAGTCATGACACAGTATGCAAATAGTACAAAATTTATCTATTGGAATAAAAAAGCAGTTAATTTTAATTCATGTAGGCTACTAAAGGGTTCATTTGTATTTGAAATTTTATTTATATAGTAAAAACAAACAATACTTAAGGTCTATGCGTCGATACTATCTTGCCACCCAAAATATCCTGATGCAATGCTGTATCGATTTTTCTTTTGTCTCCCGCCCTTATCCTGACGAAAGTATTACAACAATTAAGAAAACTGTATACCATCATTCATTGTACATGAAAAATATGTACAATTCATCATCTACAATCGTATTTATAAATCTATAATCTCAGTGGTGAAACTGAACCATATGGGGCTGATCTAATCTAAAACAAAGTATACAAAGACTTTGTAAATTCTAGTTGGTCCAAATGTAAGATGTACCGATGTAAAACATTTTTTTACCTCTCCATTCTGTACATGTGTAGATAAAGTCATGTTTAAGATTCCTGTCTGGCATGGTCAAGGCTGTGTACTGTACACGGTGCTAACAGAGGCCCAGGCCCCACGTCTTCCCTGAGAGCTTTATGATTCGAAGAACATAGTATATTCAACATAGATTGTATTCTATAAGATTATCACAGATATATTGACAAACTATGTTCGTAAAAAGTGTAAAAACGATTATATAACAATGAATTTCTTCAAGAGTTTTTAAGCCTTTTATACGAGGTGCAGTGCAATAAAGTGAAGTCACTGGCCAAGTTGTAAGAAAGTGGCCATATTCATGTTTATCTATAGCTCTGGTAATTAATAAGTACATCTTTAATGTCTTCACTGTAGCACTGCATTGGCTTTGCTGAAACTCCCACTGTATGTACACTGCTGTACTGTCTAAAGTTCATACTGTTTCACTGTTGACGCCTCTGCTGTGACGGGGAATCACAGACTGTCTCACAGGACTTGCGTAGCAGCGGTTACTGAGAACGAACTTAGAACGTCACAACCTAAAACAGCAGTATTTTATCATTTGTGAGTCACATTGCTGCCATAGTTTAGACGTACTGTGGTCGAGACAGGAGGCCTCAGGCTGCCTTGTGTTACTATACCTCTTAGAATCAGCACTGATACAGGGTCTCTGAGCCGCACTGGGTTCACTTACAAGTACAAATACGTAGAACTGAATGTGTTTAGTAAAGGTTTTTATGCCAGAATGACTATTATAACAGATTAATAATTAAAAAGAAGTTAGTCTCATGAAAGTGTTTAATTTCCTGGGGTGGTAAAAATGATTTCTTTATGTCTACCTGGTATTGTATCTATACACCAGTCAGCCAAAACATTAAAACCCCTGACAGGTGAAGTGAACAACATTGATCATTTTGTTACAATGCAATGTTCTGCTGGAAAACCTTTGGTCCTGGTGTATATCTGGATGCTACTTGATGCACTCCACTCACCCAAACACTGTTGCAGACCAAGAAAACCCCCTCATTGCAAAAACTGCTCAGGAATGACCCAAGGAACGTCATAAAGAGTCCAAGGCATCAACCTGGCCTCCAAGTTCCCCAGATCCCAATCTGATTGAGTATTCGTGGGACATGCCAATACCCCAGACGTACCCCCATCCACAGTGGGGCCTCTACGGATTAGACATATCTCTGACATGTCGAGGTATGGACACAGGAAGTCTAGGGATGCCCCATTGTGCCTGGCACCAGGGTCTTCACGGCAGATCCTTTGAGTCCTGTGTGTTGCAAGATGACGTACCGGCATGCCCCAAGGATGCTCGATCAGATTTGGATCTGGGGAATTTGGAGGCCAGGTCAAGACCTTAAGCTCTTTGTCACGTTCCTTGGATCATTCCTGAGCAGTTTTTGTAGGGTGGTATGACACATTGTCCTGCTAGGGGGGCGCTACTGCCATTGGGGAGTGATGTTGCCATGAGGGGCTTACTTGGTCCACAGTGGGTGGCATCCACATGAATGCTAGGACCCCAAGTTTCCCAGTAGAACATTGCACTGTAACAAGATGATCAATGTTATTTACTTCACCGCTCAGTGGTTTTAATTTTTCGGCTGATCGGTGTACAGTACAGTAGCTGTTGTTATGAGATCGGACGCAAAAAAACTGACAAAATTTACAAGAGCTATCAACATGTCTGTAAACTGAACATTTTATGCATATGCGTTGAAGCAGGGGCACGTTTTCCCATTCTTATCCCCTTTACATGTTCGGAAGTAACCACTGTGTTCAGCTAACTATTTCTGTGGTGCATTTACACCCCAGATTTAACTGTATTGTTCATTGGTACAGTACAGGCCAAAAGTTTGGACACACCTTCTCATTCAATGCGTTTTCTTTATTTTCATGACTATTTACATTGTAGATTCTCACTGAAGGCATCAAAACTATGAATGAACACATGTGGAGTTATGTACTTAACAAAAAAAGGTGAAATAACTGAAAACATGTTTTATATTCTAGTTTCTTCAAAATAGCCACCCTTTGCTCTGATTACTGCTTTGCACACTCTTGGCATTCTCTCCATGAGCTTCAAGAGGTAGTCACCTGAAATGGTTTCCACTTCACAGGTGTGCCTTATCAGGGTTAATTAGTGGAATTTCTTGCTTTATCAATGGGGTTGGGACCATCAGTTGTGTTGTGCAGAAGTCAGGTTAATACACAGCCGACAGCCCTATTGGACAACTGTTAAAATTCATATTATGGCAAGAACCAATCAGCTAACTAAAGAAAAACGAGTGGCCATCATTACTTTAAGAAATGAAGGTCAGTCAGTCCGGAAAATTGCAAAAACTTTAAATGTGTCCCCAAGTGGAGTCGCAAAAACCATCAAGCGCTACAACGAAACTGGCACACATGAGGACCGACCCAGGAAAGGAAGACCAAGAGTCACCTCTGCTTCTGAGGATAAGTTCATCCGAGTCACCAGCCTCAGAAATCGCAAGTTAACAGCAGCTCAGATCAGAGACCAGATGAATGCCACACAGAGTTCTAGCAGCAGACCCATCTCTAGAACAACTGTTAAGAGGAGACTGCGCCAATCAGGCCTTCATGGTCAAATAGCTGCTAGGAAACCACTGCTAAGGAGAGGCAACAAGCAGAAGAGATTTGTTTGGGCCAAGAAACACAAGGAATGGACATTAGACCAGTGGAAATCTGTGCTTTGGTCTGATGAGTCCAAATTTGAGATCTTTGGTTCCAACCGCCGTGTCTTTGTGAGACGCAGAAAAGGTGAACGGATGGATTCCACATGCCTGGTTCCCACTGTGAAGCATGGAGGAGGAGGTGTGATGGTGTGGGGGTGTTTTGCTGGTGACACTGTTGGGGATTTATTCAAAATTGAAGGCACACTGAACCAGCATGGCTACCACAGCATCCTGCAGCGACATGCCATCCCATCCGGTTTGCGTTTAGTTGGACGATCATTTATTTTTCAACAGGACAATGACCCCAAACACACCTCCAGGCTGTGTAAGGGCTATTTGACCAAGAAGGAGAGTGATGGAGTGCTGCGGCAGATGACCTGGCCTCCACAGTCACCGGACCTGAACCCAATCGAGATGGTTTGGGGTGAGCTGGACCGCAGAGTGAAGGCAAAGGGGCCAACAAGTGCTAAACACCTCTGGGAACTCCTTCAAGACTGTTGGAAAACCATTTCAGGTGACTACCTCTTGAAGCTCATGGAGAGAATGCCAAGAGTGTGCAAAGCAGTAATCAGAGCAAAGGGTGGCTATTTTGAAGAAACTAGAATATAAAACATGTTTTCAGTTATTTCACCTTTTTTTGTTAAGTACATAACTCCACATGTGTTCATTCATAGTTTTGATGCCTTCAGTGAGAATCTACAATGTAAATAGTCATGAAAATAAAGAAAACGCATTGAATGAGAAGGTGTGTCCAAACTTTTGGCCTGTACTGTATATCCTTTGTATCAACATATAGTATAGTCATTTGCCAGAGCAGATGGTTTGAATGATTGTCATCCCAGTGCCCAACACTCAAGTAAGTTGAAAATATCTTTTTTTGGGGGGGGGGGCGAAGTGGGTTCAAGTCTAATGCCACTGATAACTGCAGTTTTTTTTTCTGTATTTTGTTAAATTGATTTACCGTGATCGACACAGAGGCTGATGCTCTGTGTATAAAAATGAGCATGCCCACTATGGGAAAAACAATCTCACCACAAGGTCCATTTAGTTGTGACTCTGGAGCTTTCAATCACATTACATTGTTTTGAGGATCCCAGAAAGATGTTCAAATTTCTCTGAATACTTAAAGAACTTCTTGTCAGTGTTTCTTTAAAAGCTCAAAGTTCATTCTTGACCAACAGTTGAGAAATATCTGTCACCACAAGGTCCATTTAGTAGCTGTTTTTTAGATCTTCCAATCATATGGCATCATTCATCAGCACGTTTATTCTGCCCAGCTGTCTTTGAATTGTAGGTGTTCAGATTTTCATTATGTCTGAGCACAGACAACTACAGTACATGCTAACTACCTGAAAGGGACAGTTCACACCAAAATCAAAAGTACATATTTTTTCTGTTACCTGTAGTGCTGTTAATAAGTGTAGACTGTTTGGTGTGAGTTGCAGAGTGTTGGAGATATCGGCCATAGAGATGTCTGCCTTCTCTCCAATATAATGGAACTAGATGGCACTCAGCTTGTGGTGCTCAAAGCACCCAAATAAATACATTGGGAAGACTTGACAGCGTCTCTTTCCAGAAACCATGTATTTAAGATAATCCACAGACCTTGTTGTGAGCAGTTTCATGTAGGAACTACTTTCTTTTTACCGAACTACACCCTCCAATGGTATCACCGCACAGAAGGAAGTGGGCATCTACTCATGGAAGAGAGTAAGACGTAACATTAACTAGGTCCGTGGTGCGAGGAAAGTGAGAAGCAGATGCACATTTAGTGTATGTTTAGTGATACGGTTGGTGGGTGTAGTTTGAATGAATGAATGACTTTATTTCAAACCAAAAACATAATAAAAAAAACAAACAAGACAAAGATAACAGCTTCTGAAAAGCAGTAGGTCGAAGTAACTTAAGTCGCTACCTCTTTCTTACATTTTTTTTAATTCGTACATTATTTCAACAAATTCCTGAATTTATTTGCAACTAATAAACAACTATCCCCAGTCTATTTACCACCCAGTTAAATAAATAAGTAACAAACACAGTTTATTTACAGTCCAAGTACCACCCAGTGTTACAAAATAAATATGCACTTCCCTAACAAAACTTTTCCTTGTCTATATATCTGCCAAAAATATTATTTTGGTATAGGTTTTTAAATTGATTTATATTTGTGCTTTGTATCAACTCAGATTTGACCAGATCTAAAAATTTCAATGCATGTGACTTTAAAAACAGTGCATTCATGCATTCCCTGTAGAAAGAAAATAGTTCCCACATGAAACTGCTCACAACAAGGTCTGTGGATTATCTTGAGTAACCGGGTCATGATTTCTGGAAAGAGACATTGCTGTTGAGTTGTTTAAATGTATTTTTTGGTGCTTTGAGCACCACAAGCTGAGTGCCATCTAGTTCCATTATACTGGAGAGAAGGCTTACATCTCTACGGCTGATATCTCCAACACTCTGCAACTCACACCAAAACACTCTAGACTGATAAATGGCACTACAGGTAAAAGGAAAAATATGTCGATTTGATTCTGGGGTGAACTGTCCCTTTAAGGAAAAATGTCTTAAGGTAATCTTCTGCTTAATAATTATCAGATAATGTTTGAATGAAACTTTTCAAATGAAGCCTATGATGTCGAAAACTTAATACTTGTACTGGTGAGTTATTAGAGATGTTTGCCATCTGACTTTTTGACTGTATATTTCTGTTCTGACAAGCAACCTCTGAGCACTGTGAACAATGAAATAAATGTTTTTCAATTAACATCCAATGTGTCAGACACTGCACGTACTGTATATTTGTGTGTGTTGAAACTCTCCAAATCGCCAAAGAAAATGTTTGACCACTAGAGGGCAATAAAATCATTCCAGTGTGCCTGTGCAGGAGACAAAGCGCTCCTCATGGTAGGGGGGCACATTATGGGTGCCTCTCCCTGCTGCTTTGTTTACAGTATAAATACAATAGTCAACTTGTGAATCAACACGATGATTTCTGTGACACGAGTGTCGCTGGGGGCCATGAGCTCACATGCAAACAGAGAGCCTTTAAAGAAAGAAGAAAGACAGGCTAAAATCAAACAGCAT